AATATATTCTAACTTATGTTCACAAAACACAGCAAATGCCTCTTGTGCAGATATATGATTTGAGATGGGAGGACCTTACTTGAGACAGAAAAAATTCACTGCACAAAGGTAATGTCTTGACAGGGTCAAATCAATTAAAGAAAAAGCTAATATCAACAGCTCAATTTTCTTCTATATATAAGGTTATGGCATGTATCTGTGGGACACTAAAAGAGCCACAAGGGAAGTAACATAACACAAAAATTAAAAACATGAACTTTGCAGCCAGACTCCTTGGGTTTAAATATGTTTCACCACCTGCTAGTTTTGAGACCTTGACCGAGTTATTTAACTTCTCTTTCTCTATTTCCTTACCTGTAAAAATGAGAATAATCATAGCATTTACATCAGAGAGTTGTTACGAGGATTCAATGACCTATCTCTGTAAAGCAATTAGGGATATATAACAAGTATCTATTAAATAACATGCTACACAAGTTTCGGCAGCCATGCAAAGAGCTAAAAGCAGTAAAATTCTTTGTAACAGTGGCAAAAGTTTAAAATTTGCTGGTGGGGACACAGCAAAGATAAAATGACACATCACTGAGCTGGGTATGAGATTTCAAGTGTTGCCAAACGTTAAATTAAATATAGACATCAAAGCGCTGGACTCTAAACATATTTGATCTTTTCTAAGATTGGCACTAAAATATGTGAGCACCTGAATGTGCTCTCATACTCCCATGTAGTAACAGAGCATTCCAGACCAAGTCTGGCCTCCACCTCTCTCTGTCCGTGAATTGTCATTTCAAACTAAAGGATCTGGCATACATGTTTGATCTCTAAGGCCCAACTCTGATAGTCCCAGGAAGGTGGCAGCCTGATTCTTAAGAAAAGTGTGAAATAAAAAGAGGAAAATAGATATTTTTGTAGAACTTTAAGCAAAAAGTTGTTGCGTAGGACAGAAAGCAAACCCTCCTCCTTTCCTCCCACTGTAGGGCAAAAATAAAAAACAGAAAATAAAATCATTGGACTTTGCCTCACAATTCCATTCGTACAAAGGAGTAGAGACAGGACTAGCATCCCACACTTAACCAGTGCCCACATTGGAGGCCCATAGCGGGAGGTATATAGCTCAGCACCTACTGGGCAGGGCACTCATTTGTGCAATGCCATTAGAAGCAGGGCTGCACCAGACATAAAAGGCCACGAATTGTACGATTCCGCTTCAATGAAATGTCCAGAAGAGACAAATCCATAGAGACAGAAAGTAGATCAGTGGTTTCCAGGAGCTGGGGTAGGAGAAATGGGGAGTGACTGGTAACGGTTCCCCTTTGGGGTGGTGCAAATGTTTTGGAATCAGAGGTGACAGTTATACAGCTTTGTAAACATGCTGGCCACAGTACTGTACAGCTAAAAAGGGTGGTTAGTAAATTATACCTTAGCAATGTGGGGGAAGGTTAGGTCTACCTTTACAATAGAGGATTCTATTATTATGCAGTAAGTAGTCTGCTTTCTCTTACCAGTGATAGAGGGAAATGAGGAGATTAAGGTAGTTATGTCAACAGTTCTTGGTAACAAGAAGGCTAGAATTAGATTTCAAATTGCCTATACAAGGTGGCTAAAAACTCTGAAACACAGAGGTCAGGGATTAAAGGCCCTGTTCTCAAAGAGCACAAAGGGAAGTTATGCACGTAGAAAATAAGGATAATAGTAGAAGGGGATACAGTGACAAAGCGCTGCAGCCACCCTCTGAGCACTGGCCAAGCCTTCAGTTGTCTGTATGTTCTGGCATGCTGTAAGGCCACCTGGAGCCAGGCGCACCTGAGCTTCACCCACGGATTTCCCAAGGGGGGGTGAGTCATAAGAAAAGCTAGGAAGTCAGATGAGCTTTTTTAAACTTCATTTCTGGACCCTGCCGTCTCCATGCCCAATGCTGACACCCTGTCTCCACTCCCAAATGATGCCCCTCTCTCTGTGGCCCAAAGAGAGGATATAGCAAGAGCAAAAGCTGAAAGGTGAGAAAGGAAGGAAAGAAATTTCTGACAACAGTTTGGAAAGATGACCAATTCTTTGCATAGGTCACAGCAGCCAGAGTGACCTGAACATGTAAATCGTATCATGTCATCCCCTATTTAAAACCCTTAAAACCTACCCGAGGCAATCAGGAAAAATGCAAACTCCCTACAACCATGTGGAACGAAATACACACTTCGGTCACCAGTCACAGCCCTGCCTACTGGCACGGTACCCCTCTGGCACCTCCCCTACCATGCCTCCCTCTTGGAACTCAGCTGTCTGCTGCCTCGGGGCCTGGCTCTGCGCTGGGTTAGCCCCTTCTCATTCCTCAGGTCTTAACTCAAATAGTACTTCAAATAAATAGCTAGAGAGGATCTTTCCTGTTATTGTCTGCCACAGCAGTTTATTTTCTTTAGAGGACTTACTACCCTCTGTCACTGTCTTACCTATTTCTTGTCTGTTTACCCTGGTAGACTGCTCGTTCAAAGAGGATAGAGACCGTGCCTACCCATATCTAAAGTGCTACCACATTTGCCTGGCACACGGCTAGCATTTGATTTTTGCTAAACAGATGAATCCATGTTTTTTTAAAATAACTCTGGCTGGAAAGCATAGGGAGAATTATAAGGGAATAATTAAAGTGAAGGTAATTTCTATGGTTTGAATGCTGGTGTCTCCCAGCGTCCATCTGTTGGAACCCAACAGGAAATGTAATCGTACCTAAAAGTAGGGCCTGTAGGGGGTGATTAAGACACGTGGGCTGCCCTCGGGAATGGGACCAGTGCCCTTATTAAAGAGGTTTGAGGGAGCCTGTTTGCCCCTTCCGCCCGTGAGGATGCAGTAAGAATGCGCCATCTTGGAAGCAGGGAGCAAGCCCTCAACCTGACACCAAACCTGCTGGCGCCTTGATCTTGGACTTCCCAGCCTCCAGAACTGTGAGCTATAACTTTCTCTCCTTTACAAGTTACCCAGTCTAAAGTATTTTGTTATAGCAGCCCAAATGGACTAAGATAGTGATCACAGAGCACACTTTAAGCAACACAGCTCTGGACGCTAGTAAAGACCAACATTTTCATAGACCTTCTTTCTTTCTTTTGGACAATTATACAATCACATTGGTCAATCAATGAACAGACTTGATCAGACCAATGTAACACTGCCTGAATATTTACTAACTGGAGGTCTGTATGCTTTATACTGTACACACAGCCCCATTTTTCCTTGAATCTCCTCCACAAGGCAGAGCCCCCAGGCAAGGCTCTGGACTATTCCCAGAGCCAGGGTCGGGAGGCCATTTTTCCCTCCCTCCCCATCTTCAAGTGCAAAAAGCACTTGTTACTGCTGCTGCTCTACACCAGGGGTTCTCAACATTGACTGCACATTAGAATCCTTCAAAAATAAAAAAAATATTGAGGAGCCTTTAAAAATCCCCAAACCCAGGCCACACTCTAGACCGATTACATACAAATCTATGGGAATGCTGGTCCCAGACCAGCGTGAGTATTTTTTAAAGCTCCTCAAATTACTGCAGTGGACAACTAAGCCTGAGAACCACTATTTTAGGGAAAGAAAAGTCCAAGTACCCACAGAGACCAATTTTCACTTAATTTCTTTATGGTCATAGAATCCTGTACTGACTTTTTTTTTTTTTGGGGGGGGGGACAGAGTCTCATTCTGTTGCCTGGGCTAGAGTGCTGTGGCAACAGCCTAGCTTACAGCAACCTCAAACTCCTGGACTCAAGCAATCCTTCTGCCTCAGCCTCCCGAGTAGTTGGGACTACAGGCATGTGCCACCATTCCCGGCTAATTTTTTCTATATATATTTTTAGTTGGCCAATTAATTTATTTCTATTTTTAGTAGAGATGGGGTCTCACTCTTGCTCAGGCTAGTTTCGACTCCTGATCTTCAGTGATCCACCCGTCTCTGCCTCCCAGAGTGCTAAGATTACAGACATGAGCCACCGGGCCTGGCCATCCTGTGCTGGCTTTAAAGATAAAAGAGTTTAGTTTACAAATAGCTTTGTAATTATACCTTAATTGTTCAAATCAAAAGTAGTTTCTAAAACATGTTTCTTCCCTTCTAGTCATATATTAAATTCTAGCCTGACCAGTGATAGACTCAAAGTGTAATAATATATAATTTGTGTCTTGGCTTCCTTCATTACTTTTTTTGCCCTATACTTGAGGAAAGTGGCAGAGACTGAATGACATAAAACCCAGTGGCTTTCTTGGGAAGAGCTGTAGAAGTAAAATAAAATTCATCTGTAGAGAGAAATAATTCCTCTTTGTTGAACAAATAGAAAAATGAAATTGTAGAATATTTTCAAAATAAACACGCTGTAGAATAAAACAACTGCAATTAGTCGTAAATTCAGATCCTAATTGATTCATGTTTAATTTAGTTTCATTATATAAATGAGTCATTTATATAACCAAGGGGCCATATTATGGGTGAATTTTATAAGGTTCATTTTTGTTTTTTATACTTAGGGTAAGCATTTCCCAAGTTTGCCTGTAATAATTGACCTTTTTCAAAATCAAGACAACAAACATTCTCCCCAATGTCTGAACTAACTAACATAATTTAGAGTCTGAATTGAGGAAGTCCTAATTGATGGGGTTTTACTGTCTATGTACATAAATATGTGGTAAAATGCCCAACATAATAATTACTAGAGAGAAGCGATCAGCTCCCTGTACCTTTTCAGATTGATCGCCCCAGCAGTGAAGGCAGGATGAGGGAGGTGTAACGCTTTTCAATTTGGGTATCCGCGCGAAGGCACAATGGCACTGCCAGCATAATCTGATGAAAAATAACCTCTCGCCTAGTCATCAGGAGATCAGGGATCAAGTTAAGGTTGCAAAATGTGTAGCTGTGAGCAGTCAGGACAGCCCTCTAGTGCTATTACCTCCCTCTGGGGAGTTGGGGATATTCAGCCTGCGACAGCTGGAGGGGGAATTTTGTGAAGGGAAAGGGACGGGGCTGCAGGCGAGCCACTTACGAGACGTAGGCCGGGTAGCCAAATCCTATCAGATTGCAGAGGAGAGAGGCTCCATAACCGAAGACCAGGTACAGGGCCACCAGTCCGATGACACCTGGAGACCAGGAAGAGACAGAAGTGGGTCGGGTAGCACGAAAGGCGCTCAGGCGGGACTGCCGCCACCCACACTGCGAGGCTTGGCCTGTTCTAGGCGTTTTCCTCCTCCCGACTCGATTCAAGGAGCAAGAAAAACAAACGTCTCCCTTGGATCTGGGGATGCCTGGCGGCCCCCCCTCTTCGCCTCACCGCCCTCCCGCAGGGCCAACCCCGCGCGTCCCCGCTCTCCCCGCGAGGGCCCCGCGCTGCAGCGCACCCGCCGGGCCGGGGACTCCGACAGGCCCGAATTCGCGCCCGGGCCCGCACCCCGCCCTGCGAGGAGACACCCCTTCTCCCGCGGAGCCGCACGGAGGGGCCACCGCGCCCACCCGCCCTCCCGCAGGCGCCCGGCCGAGGCGGCGCAGCACCACGGTGCCACCGCGCCCGGCCACGGGGCAGACACGTCAGCGCCGGCCCGGCCGTTCCCCGCGCCCAGAGCCGCCCCCGCCCTCCCTGCCACCCCGCCCGGGGCACAGGCCCGCGGCGCCCCTGCCCCAGCGCGGGCCGCTCCGGCGGGGTCGCTGCTCCCCGCGCCTCCCGGGCACCCCGCTCGGCCCCGAGGATGCCGCCGGCCGTTCGGTCACCGGCCCCGCCGTTCCGAGCCCGCTCCCGCTTCCTTCCCCAGCAGCTGGCGGGGCAGCGGCGGCCCCCACCCCGCGACTCCCCGGCGACGGCGACCCCGGCCGCCCACCAAGCGCGATGAAGCTCCGGTTCACGCCGGTTTTGGCCTCGAGCTTGGCCAGGACGTCAGTCATGCAGTTCTTCTCGTGCAGGAACCGGTCGAACCTCTCCCTCATGGCCGCAGACATGGCGGGGACCGTCGCGCCGCCGCCCGGGGCTGCTCCTTCTGCCGGTGGACGCGAGCCGGGTGACTGGGGCGGAGGCGGGGGCGTCTGCGGCTCCGGGCGGGGACAGCCGCGCGCCGGCGCGTCCTCCCCGCGCAGGCCCTCTGCGCGCCCCGCCCCGCGCGCCCTCGCCCCGCGCGCCACGCCTGGGCGGCGGCCGGGCCTGCGCCTGGCGGCGGCTGGAAGGTGCCGCAGCTGCTAACGACAGCCTTCATGCATGGCGGGGCACGGACTGCAGAGGGGACCGGGGCTCCTTTGTCAAATCAGACTGTTGCAAAAAGCAGGCGTCCTTGTTGCTGCCGCCTGCGGTTTAGGGGGACTGGCTTGGTGTGCCCACACTGCTAAAGCATTTTTAATCTGAAGATCGAAATGTGTGACCGTCTTGAAAGAACACTGTGGATGCAGGCCTGCCTTCTTCCTCTTTGCCAGAGCTCGGCATAGTGTTTCTCACCTACACACCATACTCTGCTGGAAAAGACCCTTGACGAAATCTAGCGCACGTTCCTCTGGGCTATACCCTTTCCAGAAAAGTGCTTCGCTTCTTAAACCTTTCTGTGATGGGCTCGCAGAAGGTCCAAGCCTTGGGGTAGGCCCTCACTCTGCTTCCTCCGTGGTCTTCCTCCTCTTCCTAGCCCTAGGCTTTTGTTCTCTCTAGCCCATATTATTTCAAGACACGCCTTTTAAAATTACTTACTTTCTTCTAGTCTGTACACTGCTGCCGAATTTTTGTCATTGCTTAAGCATCAAAAGCTCCACATTACTGACATACTGAAGCTGTTAATTCCTTGATAGAGTATTCAAGGCTCTGCACACAGACTGGCCCCCAACAGTCTCTTCTTCCTACACAAGCCCTCTTCCCTTTTGCATTGACTTAATTACCTACTGCCTTCTGCTTTCGCAAAAAAAAAAAATTATGTTGCCACTCCTAGCTTTTTCCTTTTATGCTAATTCTCCTTCCTCTTTTCTTCCCTAGAGGTTTTTAGCTCAGCTTTCTCAGCTGTCCCACCAACACCCAAACAAATCAGTGAAGAATTAACTCTGTAGTCCACTGCCTTCTTTTCACCTACAGTTAATTCTCAGTGTTGCAGCAGGGGAATCTAACTATCTATCTATCTAGAAACAAGATCTCTCTCTGTTGCCCAGGCTAGAGTGCAGTGGCATCATCATAGCTCACTGCAACCTCAAACTCCTGGCCTCAAGTGATCCTCCTGTCTCATCCTCCTGAGTACCTGGGACTACAAGAGTGCATCACTACACCCAGCTAATTTTTCTGTTTTTTGTAGAGACGTGGTCTTGTCATTTTGCCCAGGCTGGTCTCAAACTCCTGGACTCAAGCAGTCCTCCTGCCTTGACCTCCCAAAGTGCTGGAATTATAGGCATGAGCCACCACACCTAGCTGCATCTTTGAAAAATATCTGTCAAGGTGTGCTATCTTTTTGCTCTTTACCCTGTAGTGGCTTCACATCTGCCTAAAGAATGGTCTCAAGGTCATAGATGATGTGGTTCATCCCTCTGCTTTCTGATGTCACCCGTTCCTGCCCACATCCTTGCTGTATCTCAAATGAGCTAAAGCCCACTCCCTCTGGGCTTTTGCTTTTCTTCTATAATATTTCAGTGGTTCTCAGCCAGGGATGCATTGCTCCCCTCTGGAGATGTTTTAGTTGCCAGACAGATTGTCACATGTGGAGGGGGTGTGGAGGGGACTGCTACTAACATTTAGTGGGTAGAGAGACCAGGGATGCTGCTAAACATCCTACGATGCACAGGACAGCCCCTCACAACAAGGAATTATCTAGCCCCAAACGTCAATAGGTGCAGAAACCCTGCTCTACCTAAAAAGCCTTTCCCCCAGATAACCATTTAACTGTCTCCTTCTATCATTCAGGTTTTTGTTCAAATGGCACCCATAATCCAAAATTGCAATTCCCACTGGTTTCTAGCCCCTGTCTAGCTTGATTTTTCTCCATAGCATTTAAATACTGTCTGACATTTTATATGTTCTACTTTTTAAATGGTCTTCCTTTCGTCACTAGATTATGAGCTCCATGAAGGTGGGCATTTTGCCTATTTTATTTGCTTCTGTATGTCAAGCACTTCAAACAGTGCCTAGCATTTAGCAGGTATTCAATAACGATTTGTGGAATGAATGACTAACATTTATTGTACCACCCACTCTTCTAAGTACTACGGGAACTATTAATATATTCCCTGCTCATTTATTCCTTACAAAAGTATGAGGAAGATACTACTTGTCTCATCCTCATTTAAGGAAAAGACATGAGGTACAGAAAGGTCTCACAATTGATAAATGGCAGAGCTAGAATTGAGACCCAGGCTCGTACCCGTATGTTACACTGCTGTCATGGGTTGAATTACATCCTGCTCCTCTTCTGAACCAACCCTGCCGGCACCTTGATCGTGGACTTCTAGCCTCTAGGACTGTGAGACAATAAATTCCTGCCAATTATGCCACCCGGCTTATGGCACTGTGTTACAGCAGCCCTGGCAAGCAAATATAACTGCCTAGCAGAACAGCTGGTTTCTGCACTTTTAGCCACTTGTGAGTTCGTATACTTTCCTACGGAATACAGTGATTATTCACACCTGAAAGTAGGGTTGTTTTTGAGCACTTAAAGCGATTCACAATTTAATAGTTATATTTATTTATTTATTTTTAGCCAGGGAGCAAAATCCTTTTAAGTTAGGTATTCAAATCAATCTAGGTATTTATCACCGTATTTCATACAGTGCTGGCAACATTTGTACTACATCAGCCTATCATAAAATGTGATTGTTAAATAAGAATTTTTTTAAAAAAATACAGCTAGGTGCTAAAATTATGATAGAGAAATATTACATAATTAATTTTTGCCTTTGGGAAATTACAATCAGATTGGGAGAGCCTGGGACCCTAGCTCATGTAGTCATCATGGAGTATCTGGAAACGTGCTAGTCATTGGGATTTCTTTTGTGTAAATATCGCTCCCTTCCCAATTTTCTCCTGACTTCAATTCCAAAGTTCTTCTTTCCTCCATCATTCAAGCAGACGCTGCAAGGTGAGGCAGCATAGTGAGGCGGAGTGTGTGGAGCACTGTCCCTGGATCCAGTCGGAATGGGCTACATCCCAGCTCTACCATTCAGCTGTGTGACTTTGGGCAAGTTACATAAGCTCTCTGTGCCTCTGTTTCCTCATCAGTAAAACATGGATAACAGTAGTACCTATGTCACAGGATTCTCATGATGATTAAATGAGTTACTATTTGTAAAGTTTTTAGAAGAATGCCTATCATAAGACGTGATTGTTAAATAAGAAATTTTTTTTAAAAATACAGCTAGGTGCTAAAATTGAGATAGAAAAGTATTACATAATTAATTTTTGCCTTTGGGAAATTACAATCAGATTGAGGGAGCGTGGGACCCTAGCTTATCTAGTCAGCACTAAAAGCTTTAGACTCTTTCGTAGATGAGAAAAGGGCTGCAGTGGCTCAGAACCCTGCCTTAAGTCTCCGGCCATTCACTCACTCTCACCGATTGAGCACATCGGCTGTGTCAGACCTGGGACCGGACAGACCAGGTCTGCGTCCGGGAGGCCATGGAGAAGGCTGGCCTGGAGCAGGTTGACTTTGGCAATTTCTAAGAAGGAAAGTGACTTGGGATAAGGCGACTATTATTACCATGCCTTCCATGAGCTGGAGAACAAAATTCTGCGGGAGACCTGGGATCAGGTCGCTTTTGTTCCACGTGAGCTGTTTCTTCAGGGTAAGATAATTTCTCAATGACCTAAAGTCATAATGCACTTGTGTTCTAACTCTCATTTATGTTAGGAAGAGGTGGTGGAACATGATTTGCCAGATAATCTCTTCCTTCCTCTGCCCACCCCCGCATTTGTAGGGTGCCCTGGCATTTGCAGGGTGCCCTGGCATTTGCAGGGTTCCCTGGCATTTGTAGGGTGCCCTGGCATTTACTGGAGTGTGGCCCCGAGGAGGCAGTCAGCGGGCCCTCAGCCCCTGCAGGCGCAGCCCTGTTGGCACGCACCCCCCACCCCTGCCAGGAGAGGCTTATGATGACATATCATTGAAATAAAAAGGGAAAAAGACAAAGTAAACAAAACCTGACACATAGACTTGCCAGACGATGGGAGGAAAATGTAGAGGCTGAATGTAATTTAAGAAAGAGTATTCAAGGAAATAAAATGTGAAAATTGTTTGCGTCATCTGTGTTATTCTTAAACATTTTATACTGAGAATATGGACACAGTATTTTATTATATTTCTCCATTTATCAGATAGGAAGTTGGATTTTAGAAAATTACTGCTGACAATTGAGAATAAACGAACCTAGGAATATCCTTTAGTTTAGCCGAGTATTAGTATTCTGAAATTAAATATTATATTTAATTTCAATATTAAATGTCATTGCTATTGCAAATAAACCTAGAGATTTTCACTAGCTATAAAAGTTCCCTCTATTTTACTTTTTCATTTCTCTAATGTCACCTACACAGAGGACAAATAGTAGAAAATAAGCCATTGACAAGTTGTTTTCTATGTGGAAGACCAGTCAGTCCAGTTCTGGACAAAGCCTGGGGTTTGGACTCCATACCGGGATGGTCCAGTGTTCACTGGCCCTGGGCTATAGATCCACCGCAGAGAACAACCCAGGTTTGCCATTTTAATAGCCTACAGGGTGGCCTGCCATTTTGCCTTTCTTTCCATGTAAGAGAAGGACTAGGAGTCAGACAATTTTGTGCACTTTCCTTCATGCTGAGATATCAGGGAAATTTAATTATTAGGTCATTCAAGATGAAATGTCCAATTTCGAATCAAAAGTGTAGTTTATTATATCTCAAACAAGAAGTAGTACAATTAATCAAAGTATGTGCCTAAACTGTCCACACAGTTTTGCAATCTTAACGGTAGCTTGTTTATGCCAGCAGCAAAGGAGCCTGGAGAGGAAGTAGCCATGAAATTGTGAAAGGTGTTTTCCACAGCTTGTTAAGAATTGAAGGCCGGGCAGGCAGCTCATGCCTGTAATCCTAGCACTCTGGGAGGCCGAGGCGGGCGGATTGCTTGAGGTCAGGAGTTCAAAACCAGCCTGACGCAAACGTGAGACGTTCCCCCTCATCTCTACTATAAACAGAACGAAATTCAAT